GGGGGGGGGGGGGAAGTGTTGGGCTCTTAGAGAGCTAATGCATTAAAACTCTGCCCAAACTGTTATTTTTAAAGGCTTCTAAGGTGATAATGCTTTTAATTCTGATCACGAAGCCTAGAAGGCCATTCAGGCATCTCTTCCACGCACGTGCCATACCCAATCCATACCTGAAGAGCCTGTTACAAGGGTTAGCAACTTCATCTCTAAGGGGCTCTAGCAACCAAACCTGAATCAGCTCTTAGACAAAGAACAGAAAGTTGAATGCTTCTCTCTTGAGCATCACATGAAGTTCTATGCAGCCTTTTTGATGAGTAATACCAGCAAATTAGCCCCTCTGATACAACTGTGTTACCATGTCAGATCAGCCAAGTGACTACTCCAGTAGACACTTCTTGCCCACAGTGAACACGAGGCGATTAGCTCTATTCACAGGCAAAGAGCAGTATAAAAAAAAAAGAAATCAGTCAAAAATCAAATTACTTCTCATCTGCTGAGCTTCTGCCAGCATGTGGCAACTTCATCAGTGCATCAGAGGTGTGTGTGACACTCAGTTATCAGCTACGTAAAACAGACAGCTCAGTCTTTTATTCCAACATCAACCCATGCACACGAGCCACAAAGTGGGCACCTCTCCAGAGCTGATTCGAATCCCTTTCCCAAATTAGCACTAGAACAACTGCAAATTGTTAATGCCTTGTAGCCAGAATCCATCCTGCAGATAGTGGTGCACAGAAAAGCCATAAAAATGGTAAAACTTAGCTAGAGGAAAGGAAAAAAAAAAAAACACAACCAAAAAAAACCATTCTCCACGTGTCTTTGGTTCACCAGTGGAAAATTTGAGGTGATCTCTGTGCAAGTGAGATGCTTCCCCTCCCCCAAAGCAATCAACCAGCACATCATATGTTCTGCAAACGCACCAGTAATTAATGAGACACTTACAGCTGTATAGAGCTGGCACACTCATATTTAATTCAGCACTGGCAAGCTTGCCTGCGAGCCAGATCTCCCCGCACGCTCCCCTCCACCTTCCCCTCTGCCCCTGGAGTTAGAAAACAAACCGATGCTCAGAGGGCAAGTTCCGTGGCGTAGCCTGAGAGCAGCAGCCAGCCCTTCATCCTCCCAGATTTACCCCAGATCTTCCTCTCAGTCTCAGAGAAGGAAAGTAGTTGGCTAACCAACATGAGATGTACCCAACGCCTGATGCCACCACAGCCTTAGCGCTCAGCAAAACCCCATTTCCATCAGATCATCTGGGCCTTTTAGTTCTTTGGTAGAAAGGCTCATCATTGGCAAAGCTGGAAGTTGAGTATCATTTTGTGACACCAAAACACTAAGGCAGAATGATACCCCCTGAGCTGCACGACAAGAAGATGCCCCAGGGGATGGAAATATCTAATGCCAATAGAAGACTACAAAGATCACCTCTGATGCTAAGAGAAAAGCACATGCTTTGTGCTTGCAATGATTAATTGCAGCTTTCGATGCCACAGCTTAAAACTGCAAAGTAATGCCCTCCTACAGGAGAAGTTTGTTTCTAAATTTGTGGCTCCACTTGAGAGGATGAAGATATCCACCCATTTGGCGATAATCACGCTCTCACAAGAGAGAATCAACCACATTTTGAAGATTTTCACCCGCTTCGCTGCAACCATATGCAGGCAAAGGGTTTATTCAAGTCCACTCAAGCGCATTTGGGAGACGAGGAACATTCAGACAAAAGGGACTCAGGGTTTCCAGGTGTCCCTCAAGGAACGTCACCATCATGGCCAAGAGCTGGCCAGCCCATCACACCACGCTGGGAATTAATCCAGTCAGAAGTTCCCATTCACCTTCACCCAGACGGATCACAAGAGTACCAGACAATGTTTGATGCTTTTATTGCCCAATTTACCTCCTGTTTCATTCCAGCCAGCCAGTTCCAGGACTAAAGGACTGATATCTGCTGGCTTCATAGATTCTTTCTCCAAATTAACAATACAGCTTTTGGCTGCATCGTAATTGTGGTTGCTCCCATCCCACTGCAGCCTGGGCACAGTTATTGTCATCTCCTTTTAGGTCTCTTCCATTTTTACCATTTTTAGAGTGGTTGTGGTGTCCCGGGTGAAGGTTCAAGTCTCTCAGCCTTGCTGGGACCTACCCATCTCTTGCTCACTTCTCCCCGTGGTTTGGTTTAATTAATGCAGTAAAGCACAGTTAAATATAATCACAAGCACGTGCTGCAATTCCACCCCAGGCTCCTCCTGGGAGAGCTGTTTTCCCCTGCAGTCAGCAAGGAAAACTACACAAACCCCTCTACCATAATTGACACTGCGATCAAAGCGAACCATGTCAAGCTTTTACTACAAAAAAAAATACTTTTTCTCACACTGATGTGCTAAGATTTCTCTAGGGAAGGCATTTTTGGCATCATTTTCTCTCTTTTCCTCTGCCCCATACCTTTATTTTACCCTTGGAACCCTCCAACTTGCAGAACAAAGTTCACCTCCTGACTGAGGGAAACAAGAAGCACGATGGTTTTGTTTGCTCTCTCTTGATGCCGTTCTGAATGAATTCTGGGGACGTCCTGGGTTTGTCACTCTGCAAACCCAAAATGTAGGTCAAAAGTCTGTGCGTGGTTTGCCACAGGGAGTGACTTGTATTTCATCTGCCTGAAGGCAGATGGGAACTGAGTCATCTGCTGCTGCATCATTCTTCGCTTCTTTCCTTTCCTCAACCCCGGTTTCTTTTTTCTTACCATCAGATTATGGTTGAAAGAATGCAGTGACATCAAAAGACCAGGAGAGCAATGTCTCATACCGCACATCACACAGGGAGGGAATATTTCCCTTTTATTTTTTGTTGAAGCCATGCCTCTTTCCCAACACCAGCACCCACCACACACGTAGCCACTCTCAAAAGTGAATTCAAATCTCAATTTTCTTCATTTACCTGCCATACTTGTCTTTCCTAAGAGATTATTACAGATGAACGGGGAAAAAAAAAAAAAAAAAAAGAGAGTGGGTTATTTCACCTACAGGGTGTGGGAGAAGAGGTCTCTACCATTTCCATCACTATTTAGGAGGTGCACTGGTCCCTTGGCACAGCTGCTTCTTATACCCCCTGGTCTGCCAACCAATTAATGCTGGTCTTTATATTACATTAAATTACACAGGACTGAAGCTTTTTGTGCTAGATGCACAAACACACACCACAAAAAAGCCCCTGTGTTGGTGTTATGGTCCGGTGCCTACGCATGGGCAGATAAGGAGAAGAGTTTGAGATGACACCCACAAGAAGAGCAACGATTTTTGGTTTATGCTACTGATTTGGGGATAAAAGGCTCAAAAAGCAGTCTGGCCCCTCAGCAATACCCATCTCTGCTTCCACAAGTTTCATGTGTTCGTATAGATGAGTATCAGACCAAAGTCCAGACAGCAGGACTGACCGGCTCTTGGAGAGATCACCCAGCACATCCCTCCATCCAAAATGACCAAAACCTACTAAAAAATGATCCTTTTCTCAGCCACTGCCTAACCCCTGCTAAGACCTTCGCGTCAGTGGGGCTTCCACAACCCCCCTTCATCTTCCATCCTAACAGTAGGAACATCACCCAGCAAAAAGTACTGCTAGCAACGGTATCATCTACAACATGAGGACAGCCAGAGGGTTATACATAGCCCAAACAACATTTATTTCCGTGAAGAAACGGCAATTATTATAACCAACAGGAACACAGTAGGAGAGGGGGCTGATGCATCACAGTTGCTGGTACAAGAACCTACAGGACTGACAGCAAGGTTTCCTTCAGCTAAAAAAAGCAAACAACTTTTTTTTTTTTTTTTTTTTTTCCCCTCTTCTAATTGTACAAGTACACTTTGGAAGGGAAAAGGAAGCAATAGCGTTGGCCAAGGGTAATTGATAACTGTGCAAGTCAGAAACTGCAAACTTTCTACTTATTCCAAATAAAAAAAAAAAAACTTGTATGTTTGCATTGCAAGCTCTTCTGCTCAGCAATATTTATGACATGAGAATTTCAGAACAACCCAAAATCACTATTACACACTGGCGGGTGAGCTGCAAGGGACCAGAAGCAACATTGCAGAAGCCAGCAATCAACTGAGCAGAGCTGGTATGGGATTTTACCAGTAGAAACACACACAAAAAAAAAAGCTCTGCAGCAGTGAATTTGACTGTAGACACAGCCTAAAATGCCACCTCACCCTCCCTGCTTTAGACCACAGGAAGAAGTAGAAATTTAACAAAGGCTTTTTTCCTCTTACCTCTTTGTTGGTGACTCCTGGGGGTAAAGTCCCATGCTTGTAATCCTCCAAGAGCTGCACAGCTTCCTTCAGACGACTCTGCAAAAATAAAACAGCAGCGTGGCCTGCAATGCTTGTCCCGGTCTGAATCGTTTTACTGAAGGCGATGAATTTAAGTTACAGAGTTCTATCTTCTTTCATGCAAACCTTGTGATGGGTCCTTTTTTACCCACATGATATAAAAGGGAAAAGGATGTGTGGATGCTTGTTTGGCTGTCTGGTACAGCCCTGCTGGTTTGGATTTAACTACACAAGTGGGATAGAGGAAGAAACAAAAGAGAAAATAGAAAAAACGATCTATAGAAGACTAAAAACCTGAGAGTCTTGTGTGGTACTAGAGATCTTGGAGATGAACAAGTTCTCACTTAAAAGTAGAAAATAGTTTAAGACAAAACAGGTATGTTCAGGTGCAATGTGGAATATCCACCTCAGTATCACCCCACGTCACTCTCAGGTCAACATCCCCAGTGATGGCTACAGGGAAACCACTTCGATGGAAGACCTGACTTTGCCCCCATGCCCTCTCCCAGTACATGTACTGGGAAGGTGTAGCTGAAGGGGAGAGCGAAGTAGAAGCCTGCACGTATTAAACATCACCACTACAAACGCAGGGTCGACTAAAAATTTACAAGGCAGCAAGTTTCAGCCCCTAAAGAAGAGCAGCTCCGCTGGACCCAGCGTTTAACGGCACGCGAGGCAACGTGACAGCACCGCTTTGTAACTGCAGAGTGAAGTCCAAGTCAAGTTAATTTATCTGAAACACCGTGACATTTTCATGTACTTCAGGCAGATCTCAGAGTGCCACGACGCTGAATCGCTGACCTGTGCTGCTTTTTTACGGCGCCTGTTACACACTTATTCAGACGGGGTTTTTGCAACCGGTTCTGTTCTCTCTAAAAATACCAGAGTCAGTCACCAGTGCAGTTAAAGTTAGAATCCGACTGTCACTAGCGATTCAAACACAGCCACGTGTAAAGAAAGAACTTCCTCACATTGTGATAAAATAGAAGAAAAAAAATACATTGCATGTGTTCAAGGGATCACAAGAGCATTAAGCCATGCTACCAGCCTTGTCAGAATCATCAATCTACCCCCAGAAGAGTTCTTCATATATATAGAAATGTGTTCTGCAGTTGAAGCAAAGTTTACATATACATATGCTTTCAAGAATTATACATATAATAATTTCAAGAAATATATATATTGTGTGTACCTATAGATACTATATTATAGAGTATATATACTCTATATACCTGATATATTAGTATATTATCGTATATTATGTTAATAATATATTGGTTTATATATTACACAGAGTGTATATACATACTCTCTACAATACATATATTTCTTGAAATAAAAAAATAAAAAACCCCCACAGGGCAGAAGTAGACAGGTAGAAAGATTCTTTAATTCAGGCTAAAGAGGAACAAGTCAGGATATAAAGTGAGGCTTCTGTGGAGTTAAATCTGCTTATCTGAGCCTGCAAAAAGCACCAGATCGCCGAGTAATGGCTCCCAAATATTTGAAGCCAAACAAATCACTCAGCTAAACATTTTCAAAAGCTTCCCGCAGGTTATCTGTCATCCAGATGAGTAACAGCGACTTGGGTTTGACATTTCTGCACTAGCTCTGTTGTTCTGGCAGCTTTTCTAACATTAGTGCCGGAGGACATTTCATAAATAGGGAATATTTTGTCTAAAATAACATGCAGTGTGATGGTGGCTCATCTAAAGCCCCGTGGCTTTAGTGCAGTGGTGTCAAGGCTCCTCGTCGGCACCGCAGCTCCGCTCTCACAACCCTGCTGTAAATAAGGCGAGAGTCCCTGAGCTCATTACGAGCTGGCGTCCATGGGATCGGTCGCAGGGAAACTACTTTTCTCCCTTTCATGCAAACATCAAAGAGTACTTTGTTGTTTCCTTGGAAGCGCCAGCAGTTACGCCAACCTGAAAGCGGCAATTAATGAATGACTATTGTCCTTAAAACATTCAACACACAAGACATATGGAAGAGTGGCAATTCCTTCACTTTGCAGAGGGAGCGGGTTGGGATCGGCTCCACGGCTGTTTTTACACTGGCTGAGCTCACATCATCAGCGCCACGCTATTTCCAGCCCTGGTATTTCATATATTCTTGCACTGATTAGCAGCTACTCAGCAGAAGTAGAGAGCCTGTACAAAGATGCTAAATGAGGCTTAACGTCAGATAGGAACAACCTCTGTCAAAAAAACCTACATACTCTTGGGAAAAGGATGGGGCTTGTTAATGGTGGTGCTAAGGCCGAGGTCAGTGCTACCAGATGAAGCTCACAGCCCTGCATCACTACACACAAGTGGTAAGTTTTCTGCATTTTGCCCTATTTCTGCCTAAAATTAGCTCCCTCTTTGACTCAGCCTGTCCCACGCTCCACTCCTGACACGTTCCTGCAGAAAGAGCTGCCCGTTGTCCTTCTCGCACTTTGCTAAGCCACTTGCTTGGGACTTCACAGAGCTGTTCTGGATTTCTCCTACCAGATGGGGCTTAGGTCCACTCAGAGATTCAGGCACCACCCTCAACTGCTGCCACGTTCATGTCCCGTCCCGAAGGGGACTCGGCTGTGTTGAGAGGATGAAGGATCTCAAAGAAAGATAGTTAAGGCCAACAGTGAACTAACTGTATTTTAATGGTTGGTGCAAACACTTTTTTTTTCTCTTTATCCCCATTTTACTGGGGCATTGTGAAATTCCAAAACTACATTCATCAGTTTTTACAGATTTTACAAAGAGTATTGAAGATGAAGGATGACTGAATGTGTTCAAGAATCCCCCCACCCACCCCATCTTCAAAGGCTAGGCAATCACTCATTTCACCTAAAAAGCTGGCTATGGAAACACTGTGCCTTGCTCCAAAAAAATCAGAGAATGACTTTATATATAAAGGCTTTCATTACTGGTCCAGAGAAAGACATTCACACAAGTTGAACTTCCTCCAACAGTGGCCACAAGCAGTTTCACAGGGAAAAGCAAGGAAGAGGTAAGCAGAAATAACGTCTCCACTAAGCACCTTTCCAGCCTCCCACTACTTTCAGCCAAGGCTGATGAGGTTTCTGTGGATTTAGTGATCTTCAGTGGATTCCTCCTCCAGCTCCTTGCTCTTGAACCAAACTGCCATCATCCGAGTAGACATAACAGACAAGCTGTAGGTAGTGACAAAAAATTGTGTCTTAACTCTTAGCTCCCTTCCCTATGCATGCATACACTAAACCTGCCTTAAAATTTCAACATCTCTTAATAAAAAATAATAGGCAAGTGACAGAGCGAACATGTGAGTCCTTTCCTGGAAGGAGCCTGCATTCTTTAGGAGCATAAGTAAGTGCATCCTGAATACTTCAGTGGATAAGGCCAGTCACTGGTTGTACTTTTCCAAGTCTATCCAATATTCCAGACAGAGAAATGAGTCCTTATTATTTAAGCCAAGTCTTCCTTACAATGGACAAAAAGGAAGAGTTATGAATTAGGATGATATTTTCTGGTGACGCAGCACTAGGTGATGTACTGTTCCTCCAGAAGGGCTGAGGATCTCAGATGGAAGAAAAGCTGACCTGAAGAAACGGACACATGGGATGAAATCCAACGGCATGGACATGTGGCCGTGCTCTTCTGGGCAGGCTCAGATTTCTGCAAGACCCTCAGGGCTCTGGGGCTGGAACAACCAATTACAATAAAGACCATTTAAGAGTGTTGGTTAATCACTGGAAAACTGTGAAGCACTGCAGGCATGAGAAACAAATCGGAATTTTAGACTGTTTCAGGCATTTCCAACCTGTGGGAAAAAGTAATCATACAAGATCACAACAGGGCTTGAGCCCCTTGAAGGTGTTCTTGATAGCTCCTTGCCCTGTCGGCCTCATGGTTGTTTTAAAATAGCGTATCAGGAAAAAATGCTATTTCCTAGCATGAGTATCAATAAAATATAATTCTATAATATTGCAGACAGCCTGATAATCCAGAGGTGGAAAGCCAGAGAGCTGAATGACTAATGACTGCAGATCCAGGGAAGACAACCCTTCTTGCCTCCAAAGCTAGAAAATAACCCAGGAGTGCCAGCACAACATTCTGGAGAGCCATTTGTGCTCATTACTGGTATGTGTTTTTGTCACTGAAATTACCTACACTGTGTGTCTTGCAAATTATCTCCACAGAACAGCATGTAACTCTGAATGAAAAACTGGAAGTAATAGATGAATGGGTCTGTGTTCTATTTTTTTCTCCTTCTCTTGAGGAAATCTTAGTAGTTACTATAACAACCCTGGCCAGATCCCATCTTGTTTAGTATGGTAACAAACAGAAAACAAAAAAGCCCGATTTTGCTTTTAAAATTGCAGTCTTCATGAATTTCCCCTTTCAGCTCCATGGGGGGAGAGTGGAACTTTTGCAAAGAAAAGAGTCCTAGACCGACACTGCTGATGGTTCCCGAGGTTGACAAAAGCCTGGTACAAAAAGCGAACAAAAGTGTCAAACACAAGGACCACATTAAGAAGATGCCTTTCACATGGCTCGGAGGTGTTCAGGTAGGTTTAGCGAAGGACCCACAGTCTCAAAATTTCATTCGTGAAAAGACATGGTTGCCTTGAATCCCTTCTAGAAAAGTCAGGCACACTCTTCTAAACAGAGCCTCCAAAAAATAGGAAATAACTTTACAGCGTGCAACAGCTCCAAATGCCAACCGGCTCCACTCCCTGGCTTTTAGCACGATACAGCATTATTATGAGAGTTGATAATGTCTAAGATTACACTTAGTTTCCATTTTAACAGGAAAAAAAAAAGTCTGTCTACAAGGTTGTGCTACTGTTTCAATATTTATTGTTGCCTGATTTCTCTACTGCTATCTGTAGAAAAAAAAAAAAGTGTCACTTGAGTTTTTATAGCATCACTTAAAAAAAAAAAAAATGCAACCACAGTTTTTAGTAGTATGTATCATTTCTTTCATACCCCTTTTCTCATAAAAAACTAGAGCACTTCTAGTGGTGGATGATGGGGTCTCAGCTCTCACAATAGGGT